GAGTACATATTAATGATTTATTACTAGCATTAAAAGGTATAATTTTTACATCAATATTTTACCTATTAGTATTAGTAATCAGTGAGACTTGAGAATAATAACATTTCATATTGTAATTCTATTGTGTAGTTTATTGATATTTATAGCCTTTGACTGTAACTAGAGGTCGAACCGCTCTAAGTAAGTTAGTCGAAGATGGATGGATGATAATAGTGATAATTTATTGAAAATAAATCAGCACTATATATAGTACATAGGAACAAAGGTGAAGATGTACATTATCCTCTAATAACTAGTATCATTCAATTCCAATTAGAAGTAAAATATCAACGCAATAAATTCTGAATTCTTTTAAATAATTTTTTTGTGATAGACGACAGTCGCTTTTACTTGGATTTAATGACTAACATCGTATTTAAACAAACTTAATAAGTTTATATTAATTTTCTCATTTTTTCTGTTTGTACAATAACTCACAATTCGATAGTTCTTGTGTTTAGTGTTTGTAATTGATATGTATCTTGTAGTATATTTGAATCAAAAAAAATAAATATATAATCATGATTTTAATAGCATATTCTCGACATGATCAAGTGAAGGATGGTTTCATTGAAAACGATGGTATAAATACATTAATCAAAATAGCAGATCCATTGTTAACATCAAAAGAAACAGAAGAAAGAATTTATAGTATGGTGGACAAGGATATCGAAATTCGAATCGAATCAGCACGTGAAGCAGGAGCTGATGAAGACATGTTAGATAAAATACATCGAGAACAGCTGATGATGCATAAAGTTTTTATCAATTTACTTAATGATATAGGATTATTGGCATTGCAATGTCTTCATATGATATCATTTAATGACAAAGCAAAAGAAATCTTAACGACAAATGAAGTATTCCTATCAAAAGTTCTAGATATTGCTCACGATCGTGCCATGAAACGAAAAAACAGACCCTTAAAAAATACCATTGATGATTTACTACGAGTATTAGGACAAGATAAAGGAAATGATATAGAAATTGTTCAAGAAAGAGAGTAATAATTTTAAATTGTATTTTTTGAATTCATTCTTTCTTTTTATTTAGCGAAAATTATGATGGTATGGAGTATCCTCTTTCTCCTGTGCCAGAAGAAACTTATTCACGATTGCAATCAGTATCCGAGTTTCCTATGCCTTCTTCTCCTCTACCAGAGGAAACATCTTCACCTATTCAATTAGCATCGGAGGTTCCTGTTCCTTCTTCTCCATCACGAGAAAATTCTTCACCTATTCAATCAACATCGGAGGATCCTATTCATCCTTCTTCTCCACCACGTGAAACTTCTTCACCTATTCCATCAACATCCGAGGTTCCTACTCCCTCTCCTCCACCACGAGAAACTTCGTCACCTACTCCATCAACAACCGAGGTTCCTGTTCCTTCTCCTCCTCCACCAGAAGAAACTGCCACAACTATTCAACCAGTATCGGAGATTCCTTTTTCTTCTTCTCCTCCTCCACCACGAGAAACTTCTTCGCCTGTTCCATCAACAACCGAAGTTCCTGATGCTGGTTCTCCTCCACCAGAAGAAGCTACTTCACCTGTTTCATCAACACCAGAAGTTCCTATCATTTCCACTCGTACATTCGATGATTATAAACAACTTCCAATTGAATTATGGTCTGAGCAACATGTCGAACAATTTCTTATCGATAATAAATTAGATGAAATGGTTGCATTAACTGAATCTATGAATGGTGAAGAACTTTCTCTATTATATGATAAATGTCATGCGCATCAAGATTATTGGATGATGTTCGATCGTTTAAATAACGAATTAGAAAAACGATCGGAACAACCACTTCGAATATCTGTATATCTCCGATTTTTAAATCGAATACAAAAATATATTCAAGTATCAGCCTTTTAAATTATTATTTTCTAATATAAAACTATCCATAACTAATACTTAGTTTATATAATTAATAAAAATAAATATTATCATTCGCTTATTCAGTATAAAAATATATTTTTACATTTTTGTGGAATTTTTCATCGAACATTTTTTATACAAATATTAAAGTTTTTTTTTATTTTCTTAAATTAACATTAACTGCATGAAAAAACTATTGCTATACTCCATATTCTAATGGGATATAATTTGTTTTTAAATAAATTATTTATCTATTATATATTCTTATATATATATATTGAATATTAAATAAAGATTGAAACTCTTTGCTGTGATTTTAATTTGATCTTTTTCTTGATGGTCAATATAAAGAAGAATCTCATATCATTATTTACTAAGACTTGTGACTAACTAAAAACGTTGGTATGTAACACGAAGCAGACGTTGTGTTCGTAGGTTTAACAGTGATGATACAGAATGAGTAATGAAATTTCAGTATTGTAATAATCAATACAAAAAGCAGAATTTTCTGTTATGAGTCTGGTGGAAGTCAAGAATGTCCTTCAGAAAATGTCTTTGCAGAAATGTCCGTGGTTTTTGGTCCTCAGACAAAAGGTCCTCAGACTTTTAGTCCTTTGAAAAATGTCCTCGATATGAAACGTCCTTTTGAAAATGTCCTCTGAAAATTTTTTTTCAACTACAAAAAATATTCTTTGAATTAGTTTATTATGATTGTGTGCATATGATGTTTTGAACATAGATGGCGGGGCATTGTAGAGTAAGTGTATATAGACACGTATTCGATCTGTATTTAAACAATTTTTTTCTGTATAAAGTTAGCCAACTTAGAGGAAAAGAAATACTATAACTGGGATTGGTTGTTCACTTAATATCGAAAAGAGAAAACAATTAAGTAAAACGAAATATTTTCGAAATGGCTGCTGAAGATATAACAATGATGGATGATGATCCATCATACTTATGCTCATCAATATCCACTGAATGTTCGTCAACATCATCGTCTTCATCATTTATTGAATGTTCATTATCACCATCGTCTTCATCATTAACTGAATGCTCTTCACCATCAGCTGATTTATCAAAACCTACGGTTAATAACACAGTGTCAAATAAGCGAAGATTGATGTTGGACATTGAAGGTTATAATTTTCAGTTCAAGGATTTTAGTACTGACCAAACTAAGAAGTTTTGGCGATGTGCTAATAGAGCGTGTCGTGTAATTGTACATACAACTCTTGAAAATGAATTTATACGTTATGGTGGCAAATCATCTACTCATTGTCATCTACCAAATCCATCCGCAAGTCAAGTACGAGACTTACGAGAAGCTATGCGAAAAAGAGCCGAAAATGAAACAACATCATTACAGTTAATAGCTGAACAAGAAGTTCGACAAGCATTGTTAACAGGTGAAGCTTTGGCAGTTCTGCCTCGTATTAATGCTTTAGGTATGATATTTATTTTTCTATCCACGTGACAAATTTGATTGTTTGATTTTAATCATCGTTTCAGGTCATAATCTGGTGAATCAACGTCGTAAAACAACTCCTCCAGTACCACAATCATCATCTTTTTTTATTCCAGAATCTTTTACCAAAGATTATTGTGATAAAGATCGTCTGTTATTGTATGACAGTGATGATCCTAAGTTTCAACTGCAACAGCCAGGATATATACGATCTGAAGGAAGAATGTTGATTTGGTCATCTGACATTCAGTTGAACATATTATTCAATAGTCAAAAGCTTCACATGGATGGTACGTTCAGTACCACACCACCTAATTTTAAGCAGGTATTTATTATCCAAGCATTTCTTCATAATACCTGTAAGTTCAATTCATTATTTTTTTGTCGTATGATAATATTTTGTAATAGGTGTGCCGGTATTATATGCGTTGTTGTCTGATCGAAAAGCACCCACATATATTCATCTATTCAACGTATTATTTAATGAGGCTGAACGATTGAATAAGAAGTTGGATCCTAAAATTATCATGTCAGACTTCGAGCCTGCTCTTACGAAAGCAATCAAACTTGAGGTATGACACGTAATGAGTAACAAAATTTTCAGGAATTCTTTTTAAAATTTGTTTATTTTTGTAGTTTACGGAAAGTACCATTCTAAAAGGGTGCTTCTTCCACTTTACAAAAGCTGTATACAGAAATGTTCAATCGTGTGGACTAGCATCTGCTTATTTGGATAATATAGTGATTCGTTCTGTTGTACGTCGAATGATGGCACTAGCTTTAGTACCTGAGAAATTTGTTTCAACATTATTTGATGATCTTCAAAATGATTTAGATGAAGATGAACGTGACGAATTAGCTCCATTATTCAACTACTTCAGTAGTTTTTGGTTACAACGACCTTCAATGTGGAATGTATTTGATATTCCGAATAGAACTAATAACTTTAGCGAGGGTATGTTTAAAAAACTATAATAATTACAAATTTTTTCATTAACATACACTTTGTAGGGTACAACAACAGGTTCACTAAGCGCTTGGATAAATGGCATCCCAACATTTGGTATTTCATCGACGCCATTCGAAAAGAGGTCGATACCATTCATAGTATGATCGC